CTTTTGAAATTAAGGATGTTCGTGGTTATTATATACTCAAATTCTAATATATACACATATATAAACCCTATCGTTGTTTATGAGACCTTGTGTCAATACCTTTTAAGATCTGTCAAAAGGGTAGTGCGTTGCCTAAGAAAGCTAGACGTAGAAGGGAGGCTAATTTTACTCCTCCGGCGATGTGGGATCTTACTTGGTTATTGACCATAGGACTCATTAGTGACTTTCCCTTGACTGCAACCAATAGTGTAGATTCGGGGCGTCACAAGACCAACTAATAACCACCTATTCCAAACACTCCCACAAATTCCAAAAATCAAATTCAAAGAGTTAAAGGAGGAAAACAAGACATGGATACAATATTAAACCTCGAAACCTGAGTTCGGAATGTAACAAAGGTCGAGTTAAAACCGGGATCGCTATATGAATCTTGTTCCAAATAAGAATAATTGAAGATATCATTGTTTAATTTCAAGACCAAAATTATCAATTTAATAAAATATAAACTAATTTGACAAAAATAAATGTCAAAAATATATTTTTAAATTTTTAAAAATTATTTATACTCACTAAAGATAACATTATGTAAAATTGATAAATCTTTTAGAAATTTATTTATTTTTTTACCAAATTAATTTTTATTATGTGTTTGGATAATGCTCATGTAATTGATGGTTATTTTTATTTTCATTAAATAAGTTTCTATTTTTTCAAAAGTCAAATATGGCGACAACTTTGATATCATTATTAAACTAATCTATTAAATCCAAAAATCCAAAACTAAAAACATTTCATATATTAAATATATGATTATCATCCAAACACATAATAAAATTTAATTTGGTAAAAAAAATAATGTCTAAAAGATTTATCAATTTTACATAATTTTATCTTTGATGGGTAGAAATAATTTTTAAAAATTTAAAAATATTTTTTTGATATTTATTTTTGTCAAATTAATTTATATTTTATCAAATTGACAAATTTGTCCCTTGAAATTAAGCAATTGTATCTTTAATTTTTCTTATTTGGAACAAGATTCAAAAGTTAAGGTCAAATGTGTCACAATTGAAACGTCATGATCAAAGTGACATGACTCACAAACTATAGAAATTATTAGTGTAATTCGCCCAAGGAAAAAAGATGGGAAACTAAAAACAGAAATGCTCAACTTCATTTTTGCTTTCATGAAGATTCTTAAAAAGATAATAACACTTGTAAAGTGTTTTTTGATCTAATAAAATAAAAGATAATTGCTAATTAAAGTACTTTTAAGGTGCCCAATAACTTTCGAAACTGCAAATCTTAAGAAGATAAAGAATCATAAGATAAAAATTATATTGCCTACCTAGATTGTGTATATCCTCCTACCTACTTGCTGACAATGTCGACTCCATCTTGTCACAGTGGGCTAAGTGTTGTAATCCATAGCCTACCGAACCCACAACCACAACCACAACAACCACAACCACAACCACAGCCCAACAATGTGTGGCTAAGTTCGATAATGAATGAAGAAATTGGGTCTGGTGAGTCTTCAAACAACACAATGCCAAAGCATAAGGTACAGAAGGTCCCTCAAATGCTTCTGCAGGTGGGGACCGAGTCCACCAAGAAATGCTATAAGCCACAGCTAGTTTCTATTGGTCCCTACCACCACGAGAACACAATCCTCAAATCGTTCAAACAATTCAAATTTCAATTCACAGGGAAGTATGTTAACAGTTGTGGATCATATTCAATAAATGACTTGTATAACAAGGTTGCAGACGTGGCTATCGAGGTGAGAAACTGCTATGCTGAGGACACAAATATTGATGACACGGACTTCACTCAGATGATGTTCCTCCATAGTTGCTTCATCCTCCAATATATTCACTACATGAGACGCGAAAACGAGCAAGCCAAATGAAGATGAAGAATCACGACAAAGCTTTCGTGGAACGTGACTTGTTCTTGCTCGAGAATCAGCTTCCTTTCAAAGTCCTCCAAGCATTGATGACCATGAACTCGGAATTTGCTAGAGAGGAAGGCTTGAAGTTGATTAACAAGTTCATTCAAGACACGAGGCCAGGTCCTCCTTTTCCTTCATTTTGGGAATTGGTGGAAAATTGCATTACTAACATTACCTGCAGGTTACCCACCAAAAAAAACATTACCAACTGGCGCAAAGAAGAATCAAAAAAATCAAATTCACAATTATTCAAACCCGCTTATCTTCTAGAACTCATGCACAGGCAACTTATTGGTACTCCTAGCACTGAAACCGATGGAGGAGGCAACAATTGGTATTAGTACCGTTCAGTATAGGAGCTCAAGACCGCGGGGATCAAATTCAGGCCTAACAAAGGGCACATGTGTTACTGATGTAAGGTGTGAACCTCTCTTTATTAGAGCAATCTTAAGGCTTCCTTTAATGAAAATTGATGACTCAACCTAGTCTTTACTACTAAACTTGGAAGCCTATGAGATGTGTCCTGATAGTCCCAATGACTTTGGAGTCACCTCATATATATGGTATATGGATACTGTGTGTGTCAATTTCCGACCACACTGCTAATTAAGCATTCAGTTGGAGAATACTGACAGAATAAATTAAGCCTGAATGACCTGTCACAAAAAGAAGAGATTCCGGCGGTAGTTCGTCCACCTGGGGGCACTCCGACGATCAAGTCAGTTATCTCTCAAAGATAGCAAAAGTGCTTAACTCACTATTCAGAACATAAAAAGCATACCTTAGACCCATGGGGGTGCCTCTCTTTTATAGCCAACACTTATCTAATCCTAATAGAAGCCTAGCTTCAATTGACTTAGGATTACTGCTAATCTTAGACTCCCAGTAGGATTGAGATAAACTCTCTAAGAGTCTTATCTTTGTCCAAACTAAAGTCCTCTCCCATTCTAGGACTCTTGTCTCTTATCCGCTTATCCCGAATTTCAGTTTCTTCGCAGATAACCTCGGCCTAGCCAAGATCATCTCGGTGTCATGACCAAGACACGTGACACCTCGGCTGACACTTTGGTGACACCTCGGCCACGTGTCATCATTCAAAATTTATGTCCCCACAGATACACTGATTGATCATGCTGATGATGTGAAGGAACTGAGAAAGAAGGGAATACTTCTAAACTACCTTGGTAGCAATGAAGAAGTGGCTGAGCTTTTCAATGAGATAGCCAAGAACTTGGTGCCTAACTCTCAAGCCTATGTAGATGTTCAAGACCGAATTGAAAACCACTATAAGAACAAGGTAAGATTGTGGATGACTGAATGGTTGCATACCCATTTTGATACCCCTTGGACCATTCTTGCTTTCCTTGGTGCTACTTTAGCCGTTGTCTTGAGCTGTATTCAGACTTATATTGCTATCAATCCTTTGACAAATAACACAAATTCAGGAAAATGAGTGACTATTCCAACCTCGCTAGATCCTTTTCGTCAAGGATTTTTGAATAAATAAGATGTTGTAGGTCTGTTAGGTAGCATCTGTGATGTTCAATTTTGCAATTTTAGACCCGAATTGTGTCCCCATGGACTACTTGATACTTGTTTCTTGTTGATGTTTTGTGAATGTTTTGGTTTGCTTCTGTTGGTTGTGTTGTGATTTTGTCTTTGGTGAGCATGAAATAAAATAAGAGTTGAGCCAAAAAAACAGAAAAAGATAGAAAGAAAGAAAGAAAGAAAGAAAGAAAGAGAAGTGGTGGTTCTTTCATTTGGAAAGGAAGTGGCATTTGGTTTGTTGCGTTAAATGTTAGTGTTTAGTTTAGTTTTGAAATTGTGATTTTAATAAAAAAAAACTAGTTTTTTTTTCAAAATTCAAAATCAAACATATAATTTAAAACTCAATTCAAAAATTATTTTCAAAATTCATAACTAAACCCGTAACACAAAACTCAAAAAACTCTTTTTAAAACTCTATTTTTTAAAAAAAAATTGATTTTTTTTTAATTTTTTTTAAAAAAATTGATTTTTTTAAATTTTTTTCTCTAAAATTATTTTTTCAAAAAATATTTTGTTTATTTTTATTTTTGAAGAAAAATATTTTTCTTATTTTTATTTTTTTGAAAAAAATATTTTATTATTTTTTTAAGTATTGGCTAAATAATTTATTATAATTTAGATATATATGGGCGATCCAATTTTTTTTTCAATTTTAAAAAATAAAATATTTATAAGAAAAGTTAAAAATATTTAAAATATTAAAAAAGTAAAAAATTATTTAAAATAAAATAATTTATTTAAAATAATAAAAATACAACTCATTTTAAATTTTTAAATATTTAAAAAAAATACAACACACATTAAAAAATAAATAAATATTTAAAATAAAAATATTTACCGCAAAAAAATAAAATTAAGAAATTTTTTAAATTTGTAAAAAAAAAATCCAAAAAAATTCAAAATACAATTCAAATTCAAAAATCCAAAACTCAAAATACAATTCAAAACTCTTTTCAAAACTCATAACTAAATAATTTTTTTTTTTTCAAATCATGATTCAAAAACTCAAAATTCAAAACATAACTTTACACTCAAATTACAATTATAAAATTAAACCAAACGGATAATGTTTTTTGTTTGGTTTTTGATTAACTCTGTCCAGCTTTGATCAAACAGTTCGATCATCCGATTGAGCTGAAATTTGAACAGTGGAGATCAGATTTGGAGCATTCTGAATTTGGTTTTCTAGCTTGTGAACAGTACCCTATTTTTGGAGATCTTTCCTAAACTTTGTAACTAGTTCTTTGGTTGCCAGGAAAACTTATTTGTAGTTCTTCATTGTTTGCCACTAGTTCTAACTAGAGAGAACTCTTGTACACCCATTATTCTTTGATAGTGGAGATATTTGGTGGACTACAGTTCCGCAGTTTTTTCTTTCTCACAGTGGGAAGGTTTTCCACGTAAAAATTGCTCTTGCTTTTTTTTTTTTTTTTTTTTTGATCAGAAAATTGCTCTTGCCTTGTTGTGTGATTTTAAGATTTTTTATTTTCAGATTATATATATATTGTGCTCTATTCAAATTGTTTCCTAATAGATTCACACAAAGAGGGAGAAAAATTACTTCTACTATTTTGTGCTAGATTTGGGTATTTCGAATTGGCCTTTGGTTTTCTCCCAACAATATGGATATGTACAGATTTTGAGAGTGGAAAAGGTTAAAGGGAAAATATAAAAGTAACACATATGTTTTGGACTTTTATTACCCAGTATGCCATAGTTGAGACAATAGATGGTCCAAACAAATACAGTGGAGCGTCAGCGGTGCTTAGTGTACACCAACCAGGTGTCAGGGGTAAACAATATAGTGCAGGGCGAATGATGATTCAAAATGGGCCTGATAGCTTACAAGTCGGGTGGAGGGTAAGTTGATCTTCTTGCTTGTAAATTTAACTTCTTACTTCTTTTACAAACAATTTTCAGAAGTAAAAACTAGCTTCACATAGACAAAAGAATTTGTTTTTATTATGTTTTTGGTTTGTCTTAGGTGGATCCAACTCTGTTTGGTGACTCAAGTAGTCGACTATTCATATATACGAATGTAAGTATCATTGCTTTTGAGTGCATATTACTTAATTGACCATATTTCTTAGTAGCTCTTACAATATATTCTTATATGTTTGTCTACCAAACAGGCAGGTCAATCTCATTGTTTCAATACAAATTGTCCTGGATTTGTGATTGTGGACACAGATATACCTCTTGGTTCAGTAATTGAAGAGGTCTCTATACCTGGAGAGACACCAATTGAGTTGGAAATCTACATCTTGCAGGTAAAATTTGAAAACTCTTAATATACATGAAGTCCACACCTAGACCACTATATTGGCAGATCACAAGTTCCCAAGTCATGCTACTATTGTGTCAAATAATTATTACACCAATAATTATGAAACAAAAATCATAATTAAGTAATTAGTGGTAAAGAAATAGAATTTGCGTTCTTCTGTTCAATTATTTAATTTTGATATCCATGTAAAAATATATAGGACCTAGCTAATGGAAATTGGTGGCTTGGAGTTGCGAATACCAATGTTGGATTTTGGCCAAAGAGCATACTTGGCGGCGGATTAGCAAACTTAGCTTCACATGCTGAATGGGGAGGAGAGGTATTTAGCCCACCGGGCATCCCTAAACCCGCAATGGGGGGAGGTCAATTTCTAATTGGGAGCACCCGATATGATGCATACTTCAGGAGTATTGCACTTAAGAGTCCAAGTGGAGGGGATATAAATCCTCATCAAACATACGAGTTTGCAAACATAGCACCATGAAACCATTTTTAAATAAACAAACATGAAATGTTTTGTTCCAATTCAGGCGATCCAGTCTATACTTGTATGTTGTGCGCATCACATAGTAAATCTAGGCTAATAACCAGAATAAGAACACACAAATTTGAAGTGTGATAGATACACTAAGGTGAACGAAGTGTGATACATACACTAAGTGAACAAAGTGTGATAGATACACAAAATGAAAAGAGTCTGATAGATACACTAAATGAACATAGTGTGATAGATACACTAAGTGAACAAAGTGTGATAGATACACAAAGTGAGCAAAGTGTGATAGATAACTAGTGAACAAATGTGATAGATACACAAAATGAAGAGAGTCTGATAGATACACTAAATGAACACAGTGTGATAGATACACTAAGTGAACAAGTGTGATAGATACACTAAGTGAACAAAGTGTGATAGATACGCTAAGGTGAACGAAGTGTGATAGATACACTAAGTGAGCAAAGTGTGATAGATACACAAAGTGAACGAAGGTGTGATAGATACACTAAGCAAAGTGTGATAGATACACAAAGCGAACGAAGTGTGATAGATACACTAAGTGAACGAAGTGTGATAGATACACTAAGGTGAACGAAGCGTGATAGATACACTAAGTGAACATGTGTGATAGATACACAAAGTGAGCAAAGTGTGATAGATACACAAAGTGAACGAAGTGTGATAGATACACTAAGCAAAGTGTGATAGATACACAAGCGAACGAAGTGTGATAGAGACACTAAGTGAACGAAGTGTGATAGATACACTAAGGTGAACGAAGTGTGATAGATACACTAAGTGACATGGGGATAGATACACAAAGTGAGCAAAGTGTGATAGATACACAAAGTGAACGAAGTGTGATAGATACACTAAAGGTGAAGAGAGTGTGTGGACGCGCCCTCAGCTTTATGCCACCACAGTTCGGACTCCCTTTTGTGTCATGGTTCTTAATCTGAACCAAAGAGTCCAAATCCGGCAAATCGTTTTGAGAAAAAAGATTTTTAGAAAAGAAGTGCCAAACATGGACTGCTTTGACAGATACAGAGTCTCACCTAAATATTTTTTATGGGGAATTTAGGAAACCCTGACTTGTTTGCCCAAGGCCACGTGTCTGTCATTACCAAAGTTGCCTCGGCTCAGGAAC